CTTCATAAAGGACAATGTCCAAAATCGCCCTGTGCAATAAAAGCATCGGACATACACGATAATTAATTATCTATTTTATTATATTTGTTGCAAATACTTTTATAACACGGACTAGCTGCATGCCAAAATGAACATTAAAAAAAGTATTCTATTCGACTTATAACATTTAATTGCCGTCATCTTCGCCAAACGTCATGTGGTGTATAAAAATTACTAGAGACGCCCAATCGCTTATAATCGATCTTTTGAATTTTTAACGAACAGTTGCATATTTTTTTAATCTGAATCACATTTTAAGTTTATTTCGAATAAAGTGCAAATAGAAACTATAATAAAAACAATCAATCACCATTTCTTTCTGTTATTCTCTAAAAGTATAATTTAAAAAACCTACTATACCAAATTAATGAAGTCAAACTCGAAAATAAATAGGTAGTTAGAATAATCTTGAAGTGAACAAAACCTAATTATTTCATCATGATCAGGTTTTCTAATGATGGTTTAGAAAAGCATGTTGTTACTTCTAACTAAACGACCACTTAGTTAGAGTTTATGATAATTAATATTTTTAATATAAAAATTACGATAAACAATAAATCGATAAGATTACTCGTGGATAGACATTTACAGAACTAGTGTTATTCGCCTATGTTGTCAGCACTGTTGTTCTAAAAATTAATTTCATGTCTTCATGTCTTGATGTTGGTAAAGTAGTTTGGCGCCCTTTCATATATTTACTTTTACTAAGGGAATTTATGTTCTCTTTGTTACGCATATGCAATGAAAAGTGTATTTTGTGTAAATTACGGCTCTGCTAGTGGTTTTATGTTGTTGAAAGACGTTACTAAAATTGTTAAATGTAACACGATATTGTTTTTCAGTTTCTTAAAAATCACACCAAATGAGAAAAGCCATAATAGTGGTAGTTCTGTTATAACCTCAAAATCTGATACTAAATATACTTTTCTGGCTAGTCCGCTATTTTTATATAGGAATTCGCTAATGATCGACAATACCTACAACACACAATTTTCCGATGCTTTTGGTTCCAGGGCGAATAATGTATGGGCGCTGTGCAACGTCCTTTAAATAATTACATTAAAACACCAAATAAAATAACAACCAATAATGATTATATATCTAAATTGACATTTTATCCCAATTCTATATATCTAGTTCCAATACTTAACACTGACATTATAAAAATTATTAATTCCTTAAAAAATACAAATTCTACAGGTTATGATGATATTAATACTAAAATCTTAAAACATTGCTCCAAATATTTGTCTTACCCACTAACTCACATTATCAATTTATCTTTTGTTCAAGGCATTTTTCCAACTAGACTAAAATTTTCTGTCGTTAAACCACTACACAGGAAAGGCGATAAAACTGACATAAACAATTATAGGCCCATAAAACTTATATGTTTTATCAAAAGTATTTGCAAAAGGCCATACATACTAGAATCTATAACTTCTTTACCAAACATGAAATATTAAAACCAGAACAATATGGGTTTACAAAAAACAAGTCCTTTAGCATGTTTCAACTTAATAAAAATAATAACAACTAGCCTAAACAACAAAATACTTACCTATAACATCCATTTTCAATGATATGTCCAAGGCATTTGACTTTGTTAACCACGAATTATTGTTACACAAACTTAGCAGATATGGTGTAAGAGGCAACGCATTAAAATTAATATATCCACGAAAATAATGCGTTGAGGTATCAAGTTACTCAGGACGCCATAGAAAAAATATAGATCACAGTATTGCGAAAATAAATGGCCCTTGTTCGCAAACATAAAATATTGCCGCTTCCAGCATTATACTTTACGAAATCTGTGTCTTTGTTCACAACAATATAAATTTATTTGAAAAACACAACGATGTTGTAATTAGGGCTAGTAGAAATATACATAAATTGTGTGTACCAAAGCAAAGAATACAACTCTACTCAAAAAATGTATATTGTACGGCAATACATGTTTACAAACTAATAATTGCCTTTTTGTTTCAAAAAGATGAATCTTTAAAAGTAATTTTTTTCAATATCATTTTAAATAAATGTTATTACTCAATAAATTCGTTCTTAAATGATAAATTTGACTCGGTCGCGCCGACCTATTCTAAACTTCGGCGGCCGGGATGTCGGCACGCAGCCGGCTGCGTGGTATGCTTAGAGCATTCACCACCTCCCTCCCCCGTTTCCCGAAGGGTAGCCGTTTACTTTGCTTCTGGGCGCAAAGAAAAAACGAGTGACGGAGCCCTGCAATCGCCTTAACAACGTTTTGTTTAATGTGACTAAAAACGTTCATTATTTACTTTGTAAACGTGAGTTCAGATAAGTGTGTAACCTTATTTCGTATTGGACTAACAACAGTAACTGTCGCAAATGAGAATCAGCACTAAAGAAAGAGCACAATTGCGTGACATATTTATTTCCGGCGCCTGCCGGCCGATCTACAGTTGTTACACAATTTTGTTCTGAATTTCCGGGTATTCATACAAGTCTGGATCTTTCTAGCATTTCCTGGGAAATATCGCACCAACGGGAAAAATATGCGGCTTTCTTACGCTGCTGCCACTCGGTCTTTTGTCATAATAATTGTACAATATACATTATTTAAAAAAATACATTATTGTAAACTAATTTAGGAATACGTGAAGAAATGTGTAATTTCTCAAAACTTAAAACAAGAGTACAACCAGTGCGTGTTGCCAGTGTTGACATGATATAGAACTAAGACGTCGTCGTTCACTAGTCTTAAAACTATTAGGTCTTAAAGTTGAAAATCGCCCAGCGAGCTATGGAGAGGGCTAAGCTCGAGTAATAAAAATATCCTCGTTACAACCCGAGTAGCCGCCATTGTCCAACGAGGCAGTAAGCTGAAATGGCAATGGGTCGGCCATATATCTCCAAAAATCGACAGTCAATGGGCAAAGAAAAGTTCTTGTGTAGCAACTTTGTACTGATAAACTGAAGTGTAGGGCGCCCCCCATTAGATGGAGTGACAACCTAGTAGGCAAGCAGAAAGTCGATGGAGCAGGTAGCTCAGGGCCGTGCTTTGTGGCAAACTATGTGGACAGTTGGCAATTGATTTGTGAAGGGTAGGTGTTTGTAAGTACGATAACGATGAAGATGAAATAAAACACTATTGGCTATTTACTTAAACATTTTATTGGAAAAAAATTCGTCCTAAATTGAAAGGCAACGTGGTATTGTATAAATTTTAGAAATTACACCGAAAACAGTTCGATACTGGTGCGTGATCGGTGTCACCCGGCGTACGGATAGGAATAACTGTCTTGACAATATCAACCTTATGTCTACTGACCGCAAAATCCAATTTAAAGCGTCGTGTACGCCTGGGTGACGCCGACTACGGCCAGCGACTTGCGACGGATGGCACTTATGATTACAAAAAACACGTACAGATTATTTCAACTATTTTTCTCTCAATTTAATTAAAAACGCCACCGCATTGTAACATATGGAATGCCTTTAAAATTCACTTACAAAATAACATTATACACATCCTATAAAGCATACAGTTAAATATTTCAGCGGTTAATTTTGTTCTGGAATTAAGTAGGTTTTGTAGGCCGATATGTAGTGAAATGAACGCACCTCGTACAATACATACAACACAATATCAGGACAGACGGACACAAACAAAGTAGTGAAACAACAAAGAAACTATAGAAACGATAATTACACTTGAAGCTCTATTTTAACTCCTATATAACTAGAATATAAATGATTATAAAAATAAATAAGGGGGACAGTCCCCCTCTCCCTTTCACCCCCCCCCCCACGCTCAACACCTCGGACATGTCCTTTGAGCAAGACTCAATGAATTTAAGTATCCTCAAATATATTGGTGTTTGACACAAGATATATTGTACGAACGGACAGTTTGACCGTTCCGTACGTCGATATGGGTCCCACACACTTGAACACTATCGGGCCAAAGAAGACCAAACAAGACTACCAATCATTTTATATATATATAACTCGAAGCACACAGCACTATTTGACTCACAAGTTGACCACCCGACACGAATATAACGTAGTTATTGAATAAAATCCAAAATACTTATAAATAATAATAATAATAATAATAAAAACAAAACTGTGTGCTCTCGTGACTCGTTACAATCTACTCTTGTATACACGAATACAGAACAGTACACGCTCCCTCGAGTTCGGTGTATACATACATATTCGGTTATAGCACATTATCTTCTAAAATAAAATTACTAATAAGTAATAAGCAATATTTACACTCAAGTCCCGACTACGACTGCCGACGGCTCCGATTGTTCGTGACACACACGCGAGCACCGTTTCAATTTGAGCTTTCGCACTACGTATTAAGATCGATAATCTCTCTCGCTAATAAGTTACCTGGACGGTGTTGCAAAATTATCTGATACATCTATGAATATGTTGGGGATAACTTTATCATTCTATAATACTTTCAGGTTAATAAATTTATGGATAAACCACGTTTTGCTATACAAATTAAGACTATGTATTTATTTATATCGATATTGTATAACACGGCAAAATTGAAATGAGGTGGGCAATAAAATTAATTATGTAAAATGAATATCTCTCTATTATATCTATGATTTTAAATATCTTTTTTCCAGTCTAAGCTGTTGGCAAAAAGCAATGCGAAGCATGCTTTCCGAAATAATGTTTTGTGTACGAACAATTACAATAAAAGCTATTTCGACGGAATTATAAATTTCAATAGTGATGTTAATATCTTACAAAATAATACATGTCCGGACGCAAGCACTATTTGATAATTGTGACACACATTCGAAGAAATTATAAAACAATGTGGTTCCGACAAACGTATCAGCGGTGTCCCTTACTTTTGGAGTTGTATTCGTGTGCGGATGTTGACAATGAGTTCGTGTTCGTGTAGTCCGGACTGTACACGGCTGCGCCCGTGGAGCCGTGGGTCGGCGCGCCTACATGTTCTCGAACTGGTCGACGCGGCGCTTGGTGTTGCCCTTGCGGATCTCTCGCAGCGTCTTGTACTTGTCGCGGCCCTGGCGGACGTTCTCGCGGTGGATTTTGTCCATCGCCGTCTCTTTTGTCTCGTCGCGCGACTGCGCCAGGTCTTGTTTCAACGCCTATGAAAGATAGGTGTTCATTTAATAAATGTTTATTCACATGATATGCTAATGCTATAGATTGTATTTGTGTTTAGCGTTGTTGATAGTCCTTTTAGATATATTGTGATGATAGGAATGAGACGTATTGTATTAGTTAATCCATTAGCTGCTGCGACAAATTTTTTTAATTCAAATAAATCATACATATAATTTATATAATACTTGTTTGATCGTCCCATATATATTAATTTCTAGTGTCATGATTAAAGTATTGATCCAAATGAACCGGGTCATTCGGATCAATCATTCAAATGGATCATTTCGAGTTTTGTACTCTGTGATCTATGAAACCTGCTTGATCACTATGGAGTGTAGAAGTAAGGAGTACCAACTCCCATAAGCGCTTATTACATTATATAATTTTTAGAAAATCTAATTAGGAACCTAAATTGGAAGCTAGTGATCACATCACTAGCTTCCAATTTAGGTTCCTAATTAGATTTTCACTAAATTGAATTCCAAATCGTGACGAAGCGCATTCGTAAAGAAGTATCGACGGGGTTGCACGTTTGATCGATGGCGCCGTATTTATCAAAACAGCAGAAAATAGGACTTGCCTTAGAGAACAATGGATATTAAAAAAAGAAAAAAGAGGAAATGCTGAGTTTAAGAATACTTGTCATTGAGAAAAAAAACTGTCCCATAGGAATATATTGCATATGTTCGAACCTGGCGACTGTAGAAATTTTTTAAGAGTTGATTCTAAGCAGTTTGATTATTTATTAAGTTTGGTACCCAAGCATATTGAAAAAGAAGCCACGATATTTCCACTTAGATCAAAGCGCGGGCGCCGACTGGTTGTTCTAAATCGTAACGTTGCGATTACACTGTCCTAAATTGTAAACAATTTAGGAAGTAGAGCGATTGGGACCTCCAATTTGACTAAATCGGATCCTAACTGTTCTAACTACGAATACACCCTCCTACTTCCTAATTAGATTTCCTAAAAATTGTATAATAAGCGCTTTAGGAGAATAATTGAAAAAGTGTAAGTGTAATGTGTAAGCAGTAAATAACAGTTCAAACTCTCCACTACAGCGCTCGAGTGGCTACGGGGTATGTTAAATCGCCGTAAAATACGTTGAGAGTGATTTTGAAAATAAAATTTTTTAAAGCAATAAAATAATTATTGTAAAAATAATTATGGTGAAAGCCTGTGCAATAAAAAATTCTAAAAAGTTCTTTAAAATTTAAACTGTAGCTACAGTGGCGCCACCCTTATTTAAAGCTTTCCTATGTCACTTTTTTACAGAGTCTGTACTCCTTACCTCTACATTCCATATTGATTACGTAGACAGAGAATGCTATAGACAAATTGAGATCTTTTGCCGCAGTAACACAAGAGAAAGAGCAACTTACGCCGATATCGTGTAAAGAAAAGAAATAGAACGATGCGATTTTTTGTTTCGCTTAGCGTGCCACGTTTTTCAAGGTTAGCACCATGAAGGTTAGAGAACAGAACGATCACTACGTACTAAAGCATAGCCCGCCTGTCCTTGAAAATTGTAGAATGTATAGCGGCGCTGACGTTCGTGAGTAGTGGCTGCGAAGTTAGCTGTTAATGAGTACAAGTAAATGAAGTTAGTTGAATAATGTACACATTTTCATTTCATTTTTAATGATAAAATTTTCATGCTCCGTAATTTTGTAATTTTTGACAAAAAGAAACATTCAAAAATGGAGACATATTTTATTGTGCGTGGAAGTGCAAGTGAAGTGAAGAAAATGACTTTTTTGACTGAACTTAATGATCACGCCTCACTTATGGTGTCCATATTTCTGGGACACTATTTTCTACGGCGATCTTTCTCCTGTTCTCTAACTTTCATGGTTAGCACACTACTTTGCTTAACAAAGTTTGACAGCTAAAGTGTAGCGAGATATCGCATTTTAATAATATACAGTATTTTTTGTGCTTTATGTTAAGTAATTCATATTATACTTTGTTGTGAACAATTAAGACTTAGTTTTAATTTAAAAAAAAAAAACATGATGCGGTATAGTGTTTTAGGGTGTAAAAGTGATAGTGAAACGAAAATGCCAGGGTTGTCATTTCATTCGTAAGTATACCACTATTTATCGGTTACTAGACATTCTGTAACATTTTAAAAATTCATATATTGTGTATAATGTACTCTAGACGTAAATTTATCATTAAAAAGCACAAAAATAACAATAATAAACTTTAACCTAAATTCTTTGGTGTTGCCAACTTTTGTATAAACTATTAACCACTATTATAGGAAATAATAATATGTATTCTGCAGTGTCTAATAATTAAATATCTGAAAGATTGAATAGATTATTGAAGTTTTCCTGAACATGATAATTTACGTCGGAATTGGATTATAACTACAGGACGAAAAGATTGGATACCAAAACCAGACAAAGTTTGCAGCAGACAATTTAATTTAAGCATTCATGTAAGTAAACAATATTAAATAAAAATAATAATATTTTCCCTCGACTTAATGCAGTATTTTGCAATGTATTCTACAGTATTAAAATAAATTACCATTGTTAGTCTAGGTACATTAATTTATTATCAAGCCGTTTGATCAAGGGATGTTATGATACCAAAGGTGTAGCAGATTTAACATACAAATCACTTGATTTTAGATTGATCCTGCTGTTGACCTACTGCCCTCGACTAGTAAACATGGATGAGATGGCTATAAGGAGGCACGTCCAATGGGATGGAACAAAATGCGTAGGTCTGGTGAACTATGGTGTAGCTTCGGATGGTCATGGTATACATCACACAACAAAAGCATTTGACCCAAGCAAAAAATTAGAAACCTTCATACGAAGTTTGTTTTGTTTAAAAGACAATCAATAAAATGTTATTATTAATAAACGTGTTGTATTATTTACTCACGAAGTCAGAACATAAAAAATGGCAGTTATTTAGAGCCATCATCATCCATCCACACCCTCCTGCCCTCATCGCAATTGATTTGAGTTTTATGCCGAATGCCTATACCAATCGATGATAATCGGTAATAGCAGTGTCCCTTTTCAGGCTTCCTTTACGTACTAATTTCTAATTTTATGACTAGTTGTGGGGTAAATTTTACCTCACACTTGTAACCCTAAATATAGTGACGTATTTTTTGTCTCGTTTTGCGACATGCTTTGCCGGTGTCTACAGTAATCTCTTCCTACGCTAGATAACGCCGGTCGCCAGACACTCACGGTTTTTCACTACACTCTAAAAAAATTTTTATTTTTTTTAAATTTAAAAAATGTAATTGCAATCATCAATATGCGATTCGAAGATGCGACCCGGATCAAATGAACGAATCTTTCACAATTAACACATGTCTACCTTGTTTAGTTAAAGGGGGAGGTCAGTCAAATCTCATCTAATCTTACGTTGGAGAGAGAGCGGAGGGGGGGTCTCGGCAAATATCACGCAATTTTTTCTGATGGAAAAAAAAACTATTTTGGTCCATTTAATCCAGATTGTACATGCTTAAGATTTAATCTTAAGCGTATATCGTAATACCTTCCATTACTGAAATGTCAGATTATTAAACCAATTAGTCAAACCTATGGTCAAGCTAAAGAGTATAGTAGGTTTGGCAAAAGACAATTTTTTTAATGAGGGAAAATATAACTTAGTTATTACAATATCAACAATTAAAATATCGAATTATTTGTATAAAGGTCACGTGAGCGCTAGAGAAACGACGATTGTAAGACGTTGTTGATAAATAAAATGTTTAATGAAATAGTACAGTAAAAATAGAATTTAACTTTGCACTAAATTTCTGATCCATTTTTATTTTTTTATAAGGTTTAGGATCATCTTACTCAGCATAAAATCACAAAACGCTGACAGATCCAGGTGGCGCTTCAAGCGCCATCTTGAAAAAATGTTTTCAGCCGATATCTCGGAAACTATGCACTTTAAGGCAAAAGTTATAGAAACCATTATTGTATAAAATAAAATTTCACATCTTTTGTTTCTAGTAAACATTTTTGTAAAACTTACCGTTTACGATTTATGGTCCATTTAATGAACCGGTTTTTCTATCGCGGCCAATAACTATTGAAATATTAGAATAATAAATTTAAAAAAAAAATTGATTTTAAAAATTGAAAATTCTAAAAAAAAATTGATTGCAGCCAATAACTATTGAAATATTAGAATAATCAATAAAATGCATAAATCTATTTTTAAAGATCAGTTCATTTTCTAAAACTTTTGCTTGAAACCTTTTTTCTAATGTCCATACTTTTTGAGTTAAATTTAATGTTTTTTTTTCTTTTTACAATAACAATCCAACGCGTTTACGTAAGAAACCCACATTTTGAAAAATCTCACGTGAGATAGGGGGATGGGGGAGTGGGTTGAATAAAATCTTACGTCTCACCAGGGGTGAGGGAGAGAAAATTTAAAAAAACACCTCACGTAATTTATGGACGCCCCCTTCAATAAGGGGGTTTGTTTGTTTTGCTGTTTTAAACGTCTTTGCCTATCATGAGGTCCCGGTTCGAATCTCGGGTCAAGTCAGTTATTCGATTTTTCTGTTAAGAAATACATAATAGTTTAGTCCGGATTCAAGATACTGGCGATTTTTCATCTTTGTGTCTCGGACAGCTATACATAACTGTTGAATCTGCGTCTGATTTTTTTCCGGTTATGTCAGATAACCATTTCATCGAACTATGAGTATAAGGACAGGGACTGGCACTATAATCCAGTCCTGCGCAGATGGACTAGTCTACGATAGGATTGGCCGCTGTTACTGACTTTCGGTGTGGAGTCCAGCAGCTCGTGCACGTACCTTGAGCTAGTTGTGCAGGCGCTCGGAGCGCTCGGCCAGCGTGCGGCATTCGTGCAGCGGGTCCACCAGGTCATCGGACTAGCAGGCCACTCGCCGCTACCGGACTCGGAACCGCCGTCGGAGCGCTCGCAGCGGCTGCAGCAGCTGCAGCAGCTCGTGCACGTACCTTGAGCTGGTTGTGCAGGCGCTCGGAGTGCTCGGCCAGCGTGCGGCGTTCGTGCAGCTGGTCCACCAGGTCATCGGAAGCGCAGGCCACTCGTCGATACCGGACTCGGAGCCGCCATCGGAGCGCTCGCAGCGGCTGCAGCAGCTGCAGCAGCTCGTGCACGTACCTTGAGCTGATTGTGCAGGCGCTCAGAGCGCTCGACCAGCGTGCGGCATTCGTGCAGCTGGTCCACCAGGTCATCGGACGCGCAGGCCAGCTCGCCGCTACCGGACCCGGAGCCGCCGTCGGAGCGCTCGCAGCGGCTGTAGCAGCTGCAGCAGCTCGTGCACGTACCTTGAGCTGGTTGTGCAGGCGCTCAGAGCGCTCGACCAGCGTGCGGCGTTCGTGCAGCTGGTCCACCAGGTCATCGGACGCGCAGGCCAGCTCGCCGCTACCGGACCCGGAGCCGCCATCGGAGCGCTCGCAGCGGCTGCAGCAGCTGCAGCAGCTCGTGCACGTACCTTGAGCTGGTTGTGCAGGCGCTCAGAGCGCTCGACCAGCGTGCGGCATTCGTGCAGCTGGTCCACCAGGTCATCGGACGCGCAGGCCAGCTCGCCGCTACCGGACCCGGAGCCACCGTCGGAGCGCTCGCAGCGGCTGTAGCAGCTGCAGCAGCTCGTGCACGTACCTTGAGCTGGTTGTGCAGGCGCTCGGAGCGCTCGGCCAGCGTGCGACGCTCGTTCAGCGGGTCCACCAGGTCGTCGGGCGCGCCGGCCAGCTCGCCACCGCCGGACTCGGAGCCGCCGTCGGAGCCCTCGCCCGCAGAGCCCTCGTCGCCCGCCGCGCCCGCGCCCTGCTCGCTCACGTGGTGGTGCTGCGGGGTCGTGGCCGCCGCCAGCATGGCCGCCGCTTCGTCCTGCCACACACACACACATACAATTAGCGGAAACTTGCACTGTTTTTCTAGCCAAATAAACAATTGCTGAGACTTTAACATAAACGTCAAGTTATTGTATTCACATAAATACGTTAAAACATCGCAATCAACTCAATGCAACTTAAACTACTATTTCATATCCTGCTCGAAGGACGAGAAAATATTAAGTGTTTACCTAGAAATATATAATAATTAATGCCTATTGAAAGGGGCGGTTAAATATTATTATATATAAATAATATTACATATCACTCTCGATAAACGCTGTAAAATAGACTAGTTATTTACTTGATCTTCTGATTGAAAAATAGGGAACTCGGGAAAAGTGACTTTTTTCTTGCGTCTACAAATAAAAAATAAGTAAAAGTATAGTCTTTGATATCTTGAACAATAGTTTTCAGTCAAACTACTACAAAAAATCAGGAATTAAAAATATTCCAGTATGAACAAAATTCACTCCAGACTAGGATGTATGATATAAAACCTTTACCTACCTTAATTAGCCAATCGTTACAACAACAACAACTAGTCAATTTAGTTTTCAATTATGCTTAAGATAACTACTTCTTATACAGAGTGTTAGTGTAAACACCGTTATCCTTGAAACCAGTGGTTTGGTTTCACATATAGAACGTAAATTCATAAAATTTAAAGTTTCTGTCCGACACCGTCCGTAAATTCATGGATACCCTATGCGCCCGAGTGACGTAATCACTGTAAAGATCACCGCCCGCGCTAGCTACCTACACAACATTCCAATAAAAACATAATAGGTACACATAACCTGTGATGTAACTTTTCCTTCATACTTTCATCCTGGCTTAGGACAGGCAAAAATTGAGGAATTAAAGAAAAATTGAGATTTTACTTTAAAAATTTTTGTTATTTTTCACTGAATTTACGTTCTATAAGTGAAACCTAACCACTGGTTTCAAGGATAACGGTGTTTACACTAACACCCTGTATATTATTTTTACGTGGTAGAACCATGCTGCAACTAAATTGTGGTTGCAGCACGAATGGGTCGGCTCAACCAGGGTAGAACAACGCTCTCACACAATACGTAGGTCACTCGATAAGCTTTGAGGTGCTCGAAATTTAAAAATGGAACGCACCCGTGTTATATGTTTCTAAAAACCAAATTTATTTGAAAATAGAATTCCATAAGCCAATTGCTCAATATTATAAAAAAAAACAAAGTTCTATTAATTTTCCTGCAACGCTTCAGGCGCTTTTCATTTAAAACGATGGATCTTAACCGTGAACATTTGCGCGCTTTAATCTATTATGATTTGAAATTTATTTAACTGAACAGTTTAAGTTAACAATGGTTACAATCAGCATTAGGGGTCTCGGCTCCATCACGCCAAACAATTTTTTGGTGGTTTGCTGAATTTAAAAGGGGTAAAATTTAATTTTCTGAAATGTTGGTACGAGAAGACCCACAAATCACATATACGGAGATCGAAGAGATTGTAGATATTAGTTCGGGGAGCGTTCATACCATCCTACATTAATATCTTGGAGTGAGGAAGCTTTGTTGTCCATGAATCCCTCGTTTGCTCTCCGAAAGCGAAAAATAGACTCGTGTGGATTGCTGCCATGAAATGTGTCTACGTTTTGAAAACGGGGCATCTAGGCGTGTTTCAGAAATCGTTACTGGTGACGAAACATGGATCTATCAATATGATCCGGAAAATAAAAGGCAATCATCGGTATGGGTCTACTCAGGACAGTTACCGACAAACCAGCAAAGACCTCGCAACGTCGGCAAAAAAATGGTGGCTAGTTTTTTCGCGGAGAGGACATTTTGTCGACATCAATGCTGGAAAATTGTAGATCAGTCAACTCTGAATGGTATACTATAGTTGCATTACACAAAACTTTTCAAACTGTTCGGAAGAGAAGACCAAAGACCGGACTTCGGGGAATCATGCTGCGTTACGATAACGCCTCTTCACATATCTCTCTTAGAACAAAAGCATTTATTAAGGAATCTGGTGTTTAAACTCTAAGTCAGCCCCCCTACATTCCTGAATTAGCTCCTTGTGAGTTTTTTTTGTTCCCAAGTGAAAGAAAAAAATAAAAGGTAAGTTTTTTTCAAGCACCGAAGAAGCCGTGGCTGCCTACGAAGAAGTGATTCCCGACCTATCAGATCAAGACTGGCAAGTGTTTTCAGAGTTGGTTTAGGCGAATGGAACTTTGTATAGAGCATGATGGAGAATATTTTAAAATAAATATTATTAGTATCTGGAATACTTTTTGTATATCTCAAAACTTATTGAGTGTCCTACGTACCAACGAAAAATAGCAGCTTAATGCAAGAAAAAGAGCAGTTTTTACTGGAAACGGCACATTACATCTCAGTCCACAGAAGTAACAACGCAGATGGCATTTTGATTCTTAAATGAAGATGAATGTAGATATGTCTATTAGTCACAGCATCCACTTATCATCAGGAGGACTGTATGATCTAAAATATTTATTCTCCATCATGCTTTACCACAATGTCATCAAGAAAACCTGCCGGTGCTGAAATATTTTAGACAGTGACATCATTGCATTTGAATTGAAGTACCAAATGTGTATTCAATGACATATATGTTGCAACAGCAGTGCCTATCGTGAAAAATATGTCAAAGAAGGAAAGAATCGTAATAGTCTCAAAAAAATGTCGCCATGTAGGTTAATAATCAAAATCCTTAGGCAAGAATTAGTTACACAGGGGACAGGTAAATACCCTTACCCTGTGAACTAGATAGAGCCCATAAGCAGAAGCAATAACTAAAGTAAAAAAATAGTGAAAATCGATGAAATAGACAAAAAAGTCGAGACGCATGCGCAAGTAACGAACGATAAGTTTTTAGAAATTATCAGGAGCAGCAGGTTGGCTTGTTTTTAGTTTTATTAACCGTCTCCTGGGTTAGGCTGCCGTCAAAATATTTTGAAAAATTCGCAATGCAACGCGTTAGTATATTGAGAAGTTTTGTGTATAAAATACATATACCAAACTAGGCTGTATGGTATAAGACCTTTGGCTGTCTTTATTGGCGAATCGTAATAACGATAATTACTAGTTAATTTACTGTAATTTATGTATGACGACATTTTTTCGAGACTTCGATCGACATTGTTCTTCGGATATGTAAGTCCAAAATAATGTTGCACGTTTTGTCGGAAGGATCAGTAAATTTGAATGATAATAGGTCTGCCAAAGCAAAGAACCAAAGCAACAACCTACGCGGAAGAATAGTTCTCAAGTTGCAGCTTCATACTAGTAAACAAAGAGATAGGGCAGCTATCCATTACATAGAGTATCGACCTGGCAAATGCAGGAAGACGATGGGTACCGTCGGCTAAGAATAATTTTTCGTTGCGTCCCTTGGGATAAGCCTATGTTCAGTATAAAGAGAATTAAAAAAAAAAGAGAAAGTAAAAGAAAAAGTAATCGGTGGCGCACCTGCTTACGGCGCGCCTCCTCCACCTCCTCCTGCAGGCGGCGCGTCTCAGAGTCCTTGAGCTCCACCTCGAGCTGGATGCGCGACACCTCCTCCTGCTTGGCGCGGATCTCCTCCTCCAGCTTGGCGCGCTCCGCAGCCTCCATGTTCTGCGCACACCACCACGCATTACTAACACACGCATCTACGACCATTTCCTACATACATCTACGATTAAAATTCATTCTTAGAAATACCATAAGTTCAATCATTCTCAAAATCATTCAATCATTCTCGTTTTATCACCGACTGCTTTTACTGAATATCAGGGAGGCTCACGCTGTGTATAAATAAAAATTCGTCACCAGGACTCAAGAAAAAGACCACCATTTAAAAAATTCTAATTACGAAAGATGTCTTTAAATAAATCAATATCTACGAGGGCCAAGTGGTCTTCTTGTTTTCTTAATTAATTATTATTTGCATACCATGTGGACTCGCAGATAACAATTTTAAAAGCAATTAACCAATAAACAAAAACTTTTCAAGATAACGGCTACTTTTTCAGTTTTCACAACAAATTTATATTCATAGACCACTTGGGCTCCCAGATTTTGATTTTTTAAAAACATCGATATAAATGGTTTTTTTTAATTCTATAATTTAAAACCCATTTTATCTTCATTGTCAAACTGTGGAGATGCTTTACATACATAAATTGCACAAGGACAAATATACAGACCCGGATAAATATTTGTGGGCCATACAAATACTTATTCCGTGCGAAATTCAAACTCACGTGCCTTAGCACCGTAATCCAATGCTAAGCCACTACGCCATGGAACCTAACCTAACGTAATAAGTGAATATGTATCACCTTTGTCTCTTCAAGACGCTGCATCATGGCCTGCAGCTCGTTCTGGCGCTGCTCCAACTCCTCCTTGGCGGCCTGCAGTTGCCGAAGCTGTTCTTCGAGCCGTCGGATAATATCCTGTGCCTCCAGCAGATTGGCCTATATGGATAAAATAATAAATAGTAAGAAGCTCTTCATTAAACATAATACACTACCCAAAACAGGTACCGTGTAGTGGCGGAGTGAAAATATCCAGTACCTCATATCATCCCGCTGGTATCGTAAATGGCAACAAAGGGAAACAAATGAGGAGTTGAGCAAAAGTTTCTTCCTAATAATTATCAAAATCTGCAGTTGCCAACCAACTTGCCAATAATAGCAACTACGGCAAATATCCCCCCTACGAGGCAATTTATGGGGGAGGTGCACATTCAGCTGCAGGCTTTAACAGGCTGTAAAGGTAACGGTATTATACATGATAAGATCCAATAAAACTGTTGTCAGTCATTAGTTGTACTTAACTAAACGTTAATCCATATTAGAAGTAGACCTAAAAATGTTTATTATGCAATTAAAGTGCAGTGCTCATATTCCACATAGTTGACTTCGATATTTATATGAAGGGGTATCGCACCTGTGAGCGTTCCATTTCTTCCTGCATCTGACGCAGTCTGTCCTCATATTCCTGCTGTTTCTTTTCCGCGCGCTCGCGGGCTGCGATCTCTAGCTGTAGTTTTTCTCTGCAGAAGTAAGATTTATTATATTAAACATGTTTATATAATTGACATATAAATAAAGAAAATATTATTAATGAAACTGAGGTTACTCGAATCGAATCCGTTAATTTATACTTAAAACTTAGGTCTTTGGTATTAAGCTAGATTACTTAGATAATATGAAGGTAGCGCCATTCTGCAGCTATATTATAGTCGTATCGTGAATGGGTTGATCAGACCAGAGGACCACGCTTTCACCAGAATACCAGTGTTATAAAGCAGCTTAATGCTGCTGTTAAGATAAGTGTAGAGATCCGAAAACCTTTTTTAATGGAAACGAGACATTACATCGTAGTCTTCCTCCAAGGTGTCAGCGCATCTGCATTATGATTTTTAACTGAAGTTAGATGTTGATGTCTATTGGTAATAGCATCCATTTTCCATCAGGTAGTTAGTGTGCTCGTTTATCACATTTTTTCTATGAAAATAAAATAGCTTTTTGTAATAAATGTAAGATGGGTTAGTTTGAGAATGAAGTGCTGCGTGTAGTGATGTAGTGACGTGTTAGATCAGTGATGTGGTGCTTTGTGTTGCATAGTGGTGAAACGTAATATACCCCATATTACGTTTCACCACGGTGTAGTGTAGTGAAGTGTTAGATCAGTGTGATGTGGTACTTTGTTGCATAGTGGTGTAGTGTAGTGAGGTGTAGTGTAGTGCGGTGCAGTGTATTGCGGTGTAGTGTAGTGTGGCGTACCTCTGCGCCTGCTTGGCCAGCTTCTCCTCGCGCGCCTGCGCCTTCATCTGCTGCACGTCGATGGTGTCGGGCTTGCGGCGCCGCATGTACAGCTCGTGGTTGCCCATGCACAGCGCCAGGATGCGCTTGTTCACGCGCACGCGGGGCGCGAAGAACACAAAGTCCGGTGCCTTCTTGTCGATTGGTTTGATGATGAACTTGCGGTCGTTGAACGAAATGTTGCGGATCTCCGACCACGGGAAACCAATCTTCGGTGTCAACCTGTAATCAACAATCGATTATGTTACATTACATTACATAATATTTTCAAATATTTGATATACTTTATTTTACTAGGATTATCAACTGGTATTGCAAGTTACATGTCAACCTTAACCTATATATATATATATATATATATATATATATATATATATAGTTATTAAGGTATACAAAATTACCCCATCTGTGTCTATCGTGTGGTAAATGTTGTAAGAGGCGACTACGGGAAATTTCAGAAATATCTTATTCTGCTTAATATTCTCTATGCATAAATTTCTAATTTTCCATATGTATACATGGTCGTATACCATGTAATGTAATAAAGTAAAATACTCAAACCAAGCGCGAAGAATAAGGCAAATCCTTTCATTGGAAAGGGAACACATCCAAAAGAAAAAGTATTTAATAACATTTTATCATGTTAACTTTGGTTTGATCGCTGACTGTGAATATGAAACAAATTTTGCAATTGACTTTAAACTAACTTCCCATTAAACTAGTGAGTTAAAATAACGAAAATACACCTCAGAACTGGGTGACAAGCAATACAACCTACCTTCCTTATCGGTCTGTTTTTATTTGTTTGTTTAGTACAAACCTTGCAATCGATAGAAAACTAACTTCTTGATGCGTTAGAAGACTTAAAACTTTAAAATAAATTCATAAATGGAAACCTAGCAAAAGATATTTTGTATTACAATAATTTTTTAATATCCTCGGATCACTAACTTGTCATCTTTCTCGTAGATGTTGAGTCCGAGCGCGTCGACTCCCAGCCACAGTTCGGTGTTCTTCTTGTTGCGGATCTCAAAGTAGTTTACGCCGTACATCTCGAGGTCTTGCGCGATCTTGAGGTACTCCATCATGGCGTCCTCGCGCAGCATCCCGCGGTGCTCCTGCCACCAGTTCGTGATGCTCTGCTCCCATTCTTCGCGGGACATCTTTCGGAAAACAAAGATTATTAAACCAAATATGCAATAGTATTTTAATTCAAATAACGACTTAGTGTAAATATGAAGTGTGATATTGAAGCATGCCTTATAAATGTATGTTTTGAGAACTAGACACTATTTATTGGTGACGCAAACATGACTGCCGCGTTGGTCTAATGGGTGTATTGGTTGTAGTCGTAACTGCTGATCATGTACTCCCTGATGGGGCTAAAATTAGTTATTGGGTTAATCTGGTACCAGCCAGGAGTCAGAAAAGTGGCGATGTTTCACCACAGTGACTCAGAAAGCAAGTCACTCAGGACCTGATCACTGTTTGGTTTGTGTTTGCGCATAGACTTGTGCACTATAATTCTGTCCTGCGCAGATGTCCAATCTCAGTTGAAACTGATCACGTTGCTGAAGCACATATTACATACTAGAAATTTTCCGGTAAAATGGCGGTGTTTTACAAACATAAAGTGCACCTTGTGCCAGTCGGTGACCCGCTACCGTCGGCGAGTGGTCGTTTGTGTTGCGCAAATAGGCAATATCAATTGAGATTACAGAAATTCGGTCTAAGGCACATTATTACATAAAAGTAAAGTTACAGCCTATATACGTCCCATTGCTGGGCACAAGCCTCCCCCTCATTTCTGAGAGGGTTTTAGGGCAAGGAAATATCCGCCGCGCTGCCCCAATGCGTGTTGACGAACTTCACATGTCTTCGAAATATTTATTGTTATTCCTCAGACATGCAGGTTTCCTCACGATGTTTTTCTTCACCGCCGAGCACGTGGTAAATCAGCACTTAAAATTGCAATTAACAATTTCATTGGTGCCGGCGGCGATCGAATCCGGTTAATAGTATTCCTGTTAAATACACCACTAGTAATCTTAAAGAAGTACTATAAAATTTTAAAGCTTAATTTTAAGTTAGTGGAGGAGTTCGATGATAGTGAAATATTTTTTTGAAGTTTTGTTTTATTTTGTATATATATTTAACTAACTTTTACTTGTCTTGTTTTGTCTTTTACTTGTCTTGTTTAATGGGGGTGTTTTGCAAACACAATTCACTTATTTTTAAAAATAACTTATTAATTTTATTTATATACGATTAGTTAAATTTAAAAACAATTTCTAAACTCAACTCGAACATACAATTAAGAAACGGACTTAATAAAACCTTTACCGTAACGGCCTAGTAAAATCCACTGCTGAACACAGGCCTCCACCATAGATGGCCTCATAGGTGTTATATTTACTACAGCTGCCACGCTTGGCAACCGCAGTGTTTTATTTTTATTTTTAATCGTTATTATGAAGACGCAGCTGCCTATCTCCTGTTTTTTCCTCTGTCGCATCTTACGACATCCACGGATGATATGCAGTAGTAGATATTCTTACACCGCCACTACACGGAAGAAAGGTTTGGCAGCCTCGTATCGGTAGACGAAGTGTAGGGCGTCGAGTGACGACCTGGTAAGAGATGCAGGAATTCGATGGACGCAGGTAAGTCAGTCAGCCTATGTTAACGTTGTGGCAATTGAGTTGACATGGTTTGTCGGGTACCTTGTGCTGATCGGTGACGCGCTGCGGCAGCAGGCGGTCGTTGGCCAGGAAGCCGGGTCCGTGCAGCGCGGGGTTGTGGTCGCCGTGGCGCGCCTGCACCGCGTACGACGCCAGCAGCACCGACGTCTCCGGCGGGCAGTAGATCTCGTCCGACAGGATCGCGTTCTTCACCTGCCACCCACGATACAATATACGTATTGCGTGCTCGAGCCACGCTGCAGCTATATTATGGTTGTAGCAGGAATGGCTCAGATCTACCCGCGAAGCCACGCTCTTACTGAATACTACAGTGAAATAGCAGCTTAATGGCAGCATGTTTCGTATTGTGAGTCAAGAAACTGGTATCTCAAGATTGTGTTTATTTCTAGTGTTCACCGAGTGTATAGCATGTATTTTTTTTACGTGACCACTTAAGGGCGCCCCACATCTGAACCCTTTTCCCTTTGATGAATTTCCATTTGATAGCCGTACAGGTATTTCCTTATCTAGGCAATAGACTGCGTAGATCGGACCAAAAATAATAATTTTAATCTAAAGGTAGCCGTGGTTAACTACAACATTGAGACGTCGAACCCCTCAGTCCCCTCTATGATATATATATAATAAGTTAATGTACGCGATAAAATCCGTAAACACTAGTTATATGTAACGCTTGTTTTTTGACTTTTTAATGAAATTCCATCAGTGACTACTGACTTATTGTCCTAAGTAGAGATTAGTCATTATAGTCTGTGGTCATACAATGACTGTCTATGTCACATTTTGTATACTCTGTGGTTAATTAATAAAAAAATGTCTTCGCGTCTTATTGTGTCGTGTGGTCTTAGGAAGATATGCCACGACACCAGTAAAAGATGTCTTACAGTTCTCTTCACTGACCTTATTAATGACTAATTTAAATTTAACTAATGAATGACACTTTCTGCTCAAATTAACCTTATTTACTGACTTATTTAAACTTAACTGATGAATGACACTTTCTGCTTAAATGACTTACTTAACTAAATTTGTAATGTGTGCAAGCATGGCCCTTACCTAATCGAACCGACCCATTCGAGCTTTAGATATAATACAAATTCAACATATTATCTCTAACGCATTCAAATCGCCTTTTTTATAAAAGACCACTGTATAAATTAAATGCGCAAGAACTTTTAAAGAAATATGTTTCATTTAAAATTTAAATCTTACAATACCCTGGTTGCGCGTTTGTGAATTTTACAGAGCGAAAAAGACAGAAAATCTTATATAAAATAATTTAAATGGGGGCAAACGAGCACACGGCTCACCCGATGGTAAGCGATTACCGCCGCCCATGAGCAGCTGCAACACCAGGGGGATTGAAGATGCGTTGCCGGCCTTTTAAAAAGGAGTAGGCTCTTTTCTTGAAGCTCTTTTGAATGAAAATGTTGCACTAATACAACACAGTGTATAATTACTAATAAATTATACACTAAAATTATATAATCTTATATGTTTAGTTTTGTTCTGAACAACAACTTAGAATATGTAAGAAGATACAGCAATAAGAAAAGCCAATTATGAAAAATAGGTTGACTGGATAAAGTATGCCTCCAAGTGTTAAGTTCACCTTTTGTATTCCGTCTGGTGTATAGGTGAATGCAATAAATATTGAAATAAATAAATAAATAACAATTCTATAATTCAGAATATATACATATTATTAAATATGAAAGAGTTTATTTACTATTATTAAATAAGTCACTTTTAGACTTCTTAAGCCTCTACGCTTAAATCTTTTCCTGTATAATTTTCAAGTATTTTAAATGCATAAATTGTACAATTGAACAATAAACTACGAGTATATAAAGGAGAAGCGTAGTAGAAGCACGGCGTCAGTGAATCTACTAGCTCTATCTACTCCATATCATCCCGCGGGCGTCGCAAGAGGTGACAGAGGGGCGCTGGAGCAGGAGATGGGCAGCAACATCTTCCCGACGAGCACACAGGGAGGCCTAAGCTCAGCAGTGGACTTTTGACCTGCTGTAATGAATACAGTAATTTAGTAGTTCCACTAAAAACATACATATATCGTATGAGTGAGTTACTTCTTTTAGCAATGACTTAAAACTTGGTGGGTTTTGTAATTTAAGTTTAATTAGATTTTTAGTACTTAAAATACGCACGCACGCACGCACACATACATATTTATAAAAATAAAAAAACTAATATTTAATAAGAAAATTAGTGCGAGCTGCAATTGTCCCACTCAGTAGTGTAATTGATCAATTCAAGCAAAGCGCGTCGGTAGTCGTAGTTATGAAAGTTAAAAACCTACTCTTCGAATGTCTTGCCGCCCGCATGTTATCCTCTTAAATATATTTTACAATTTATTAACCTTTATCAACGAAAGGATATTATATCAACGTGCGTGCATCTTTGGTTGTATAAATGCGTTCCCTCTGAGTCCTCAGGGGTGACAAGGTATCTGTATTTTGGTTCTCCATCGAGGGTAGATGTCTATGTGTATCAAACGTTAACGAACAAGCACACAGCCCAACTGATGCTAAGTGAATGCTGCGACCCATAGACTTCTAACATCTAACGTGCAGATGCGTTGTCACCCGTGAGGACTAAGATGGATCACCTCGTTCCAGCAAAAGGAGTCTCCTGTTCGCTACACGCACCATACTCTGGTAATTCTTTGAGGTTTGAAAGGTATAGACAACCAGTATAACTATAGGCTGTGACGCATTCCATAAAGAAGAAGATTCCATCAATAAAGAAGATAAAAAGGTAAAAACGCATGTGTAGCCTTCTTATTTTGATGCTGGTTGTGCTGTAGGCGGCTGCAGCCACTTACCATCAGGTAAAGTGTAAGTTCTATAGTCATTTCAGTTTTATAAAAAGAATAAAAAAGCAAAAAAAAATATTAACAAAAGACGACCAACCGAAGTTATCTATCAAATGGGAATATTTATGATCGTAGCTCATTTTATACTACACTTCTTACGCTAATAAATTGTCTTGGTCCCGTATACCGAACTAACCTGGAGGTGGAAACTAACCTGAAGGTAGAAGAGCTTGAGTGTGATCTCCTGGATTAGTTCATCAGCGACATCCTCCGGGTAGAATTTGGCTCGGAACTTGAACTGCAGTGGGTTCTCTTTCTTCACATCCTGTTGCATCACCTGCAATGCACGAAAGGTATAATTTAAAACGCACGATATTATTGTGTGAACGTTAGCAGGCTGATTTAATTACAAAGGTTTGCTAATTGTATTTATAACGATTCATAAAAAATAGATTTAAATCGTGTCATAAACTGAGTTGATATTTTTCTTGTCTATGTATTACTTTAATAGCCAAAGTAGAAGCTAAGTAATGGCTGCATGATGTTTACTTATTATTGACTAAAATTAAGTTCATGACATCAAGAAACATTATTATATCGCTAAAAAGATGAATTAGAAGCGCGTTAAGAGAAACGTTTAAAAATTATTCAGTTTATATTTGAATTTAAACTTGAATCCCCGAATTTATAAATAGTAGATATATAACTAAACGTGTTTTGAATAAAATATTTCGATTATAATCAAAATTAAGATACATAGTCTACATAAGCTAGTGTTAGACCTAGAGTTTACTTTCATTAAATGTTTAACGTGATGTTAAACTGCTCTACTTCGGAAGTTGTTAATAAATTACGATCGACAAATCGTAACAGTAATTACGGAATACGTGTTAACGATATTTTTTATAAGATATGAATTTGAAATAATATATTTAGTTTATTCATAAAATTACTATTTGTTACTTTTACACTACCAATTCTGCTATTTTAAGCGCGCCAAGCATCCTGGGAATAACAAACACATTCGTAATATTCTTACCCATCTGGAGAAAGGTAGCGACCCTGACTTCGTGGCGTGCCCATCAGGTAATCCAAGGAAAGCGTTAAAAAGGCAACAATTAATTACAATTCAGCGTCAGTTGACGGCAATTACAAAACACTTAAGCGACAAGATAGATTGACCTTAGTGATATTAGGAAAAACTAGCAAAGTTAAAGTTTAAAAATGTTAAAGCTAGATGTACGAATAAATAGCTTACAACTTAATAATAACCAAACATTCATCGGTCTTTACAAACCCAATTCCAAACCTCCGTTTGAAATTGAAACACGTGTGATGGTGGGCATATACATATCATACGTATTTTTTAAAATAATATAAAGGTTAAAAACGAGCACGCTGTTCATCTGATGGTAAAAGTATGCTGCGGCCTATAGATATCTACATCTGCCTTCGTTTATATAACAAAAATGCAGATGCAACTAAGATGGAATGCCTCGTTGCCAATAAAAAGACTCTCCGGTTCTCTACACTCACCATATGAAACATAACATCAAGCTGCTATTTCACGCTGGTATTCTGTGAGAGCGTGGTGCTTTCGTGGTCGAGCCGACCCATTCGTGATGCATCCATAATGTAGCTGCAGCGTGTAAAATATGTATACGTATTAGCAAACCGTGTTGGCGATCGTAGTAATGTGTATTTTGATATTCAAAATACACTCAACATAGTCTGAATATACCTTAACTCTATTAGAAAATCTACACATAGGTTTAATAGAAAGTTAAACCAGGAATTTTTAGCAAATTACGTCAGTCGTCAGAAACAGTAGCATTATTTAACTATACTTCATTAGATGACAATCAAATCCAACATTATGATTTCATGGTCCCGGTGGGACTTAAGATGTTTGACGTTCAATGTCGTCATAGTTAACGTAATAAGGTAGCCATGATAAAAATGGGAAGTCGAACTTATCTGTCCCCCCATGATCATGCTTATTGCAAATTACTCGAAACGTCGAGAATATGAAGTTAAGTAAAGGTGATAAAACCCGTAAAAAATAGTTTAATTCTATAATTTATGGCGAGTTTCTAAAACGCTTCGCTTTCTTTTACGAACCGTTTTACAGGGAATGGAGTGCATAAAAACCTTTTAATTAAAACAAAATACCAGTTCAAATATTTATAAACCGTTTAAAGTCCACCCTACTCGGCACGGCTCATAGGCCTATATAACCACGAATTCGTTTATTAACACGCGAGTACACGCGCGGGCTACATATGTAGCCCAGGGTATTGTTTTTGTTCATAACTTCACGAAATCGTGTGATTTAACTTTGAGCCTCTAGCTAAGCTCCGATTGGTTGTTGCTCGACGGATTTAGTGCAGTGTTGCCGTTTTAGCGACTTTCTCGCTAGATCTAGCAGATTTCAACAATGTTTAGCGAATAAAAAATCGCTTTAGCGAGAAATAATTATTTAGCGACTTCTAGCGACATTTGGACTTTTGAGATGACGACTTTTTTTTTATAAAGTAATTCATTTCAAATAAGTCATTTATGATATGTCCAATTTTGTAATCTACCGTTGGTAACACTGTATATATAATATAATTTCACGAGAATTCCCGAATATAAACTAACAATTCAATGTCGTTCATTCACTTTCATCTGCTTTGACCTTATACCATGGTCTAAGGTTTCGACATACAAAAATGCAGCAGGAGTAAACATATTAGAAGATTTATGTAATTTTGCAATATTATCACTACCGCACTCAAATGCAGAATTTGAATGCGTATTTGGTGCTATGAATGTAGTTAAAAGCAAACTGCGAAACAAGCTATCAGAAAAACTTTTAAATTCCATTCTTCCAATTAGAAATCAGTTAAGCAACGAATGATTGATATGCGAGATTAATATTGTGAAATGATATTCCCGAAGATGTCAACCAAGTCGATAAAGGCAAACCAAAGATGGGAACTGGAGACATTGGCGAAGCTTCAACTTCCGCTGAAGTTCATTTTGAAGATCTGGATCCATACTTCGCTATTAATTTTGAATTTTAGGTACAAGAACGTATTGAGCTAATTGTTTTATTTTTAATAAGATGACTAATGTTTAAATGTGGTTTAAAGATTTAAGATTCAATTTTTTACAATATTTTTTATTTTGTACATGAATAATTTTTGTTTTGGTTGTCATATCTTTAACCTACACTATAAATAACAGATTTATATGAAATAGAGTCCGCTCCTATTAAGGTTTTACTGAATATATAGTTTTAGATTTTCCGTATTCATTGACCATTTGGCAAGATTTTTCAGTTAGCCCAATGGTACCACGAAAATATACCTAGGGACATCTAGCGGATTTTAAGAAAAAGAAAAATCTTGTTTCTGGCGGATTTTTTCTGTTAGTTTAGGGACTTTAAAATTTGTAGAATGGCAACCCTGATTTAGTGTGGCATGAGCGCTCGACGCTGGCGCACGTGCGAGTAATAACGATTTAAAGTTATTGGGCTACAGGTATGTAGCCCACGCGTGCACTGGCGAAACTTCTGAAGTGTGAAATATTTTTTTAAATTGACATAAATATTTATCTTTTTACTCAAAATTTTGGTATTATATTTTATAGTTATAAAATTTAAACTTATTTTTTGTCGATATTTGAAAAACATATCGGAAATATGGACCGCAGAATGGAAGATAATATGTTGAGATGGCTAGAAGAGGAGTCAGATGAGGATGATTTGATTGTAAGCGAACAGGAAGAGGATTTGAGGGAAGAAGAAAATATAATTCATTCTCCGCATAGCACTGACACCGAGCAAGAAGATGACGAAAATGATGGGATTGCTGGACAAAACAACAGTGATTCGGATGAAAGTGTACCACTTGCAGATTTAGCCACTTATAAGTCACGAAATGAGAATGGAGGAAACATCATTTTCTGCTACAAGGGTACATTCTCACAACATTATACAAAAACCTTTAGGACCAAAGGGTACTGCTTGTAATGCCAGCACACCTCTTCAATGTTTCGAGTTATTTTTTGACTCTGATGTTTTTGAATCCTTGGTAAATTGTACAAAAATATATATATATATATATACTATAAAGACAAAATACCAAAGAGAACGAGATGCGAAGCCTACGAATCTTACTGAAATGAGAGCGTTTGTTGGGTTACTTATAGTAATCGGAGCCAATAGATCAGGACGTCAAAACCTTAAGACTTTTGGGACAACTCCATTGGGACCGGTTTTGAACTGGTCTATCTGACAATGTCTATAAACAGATTTCGTTTCCTACTACGATCTTTGCGATTTGATGACATTCTCGATCGCCCTCAAAGACAGGAAATTGATAAGCTTGCTGCCATACGGTGCTTTATTGAGCGTATGAGAAACCATTGCTTAGAATATTATACTCCAAGTGAACACATGACGTTGGATGAGCAACTCGTAGCATTTAGAGGTCGATGTGGTTTTATTATGTACCTACCCAACAAACCGGCAAAATTTGGAATAAAAATATTTATGTAAATATTATACAAAATGCCCGTATATTTATAACTTTGAAGTTTATTGTGGTCAACAACCAGAAGGCCCATTTCGTGTATCCAACAAAGTTGCAGACGTGACCAAAAGATTACTAGAGCCGCTTATAAATATGGGATGTAATGTTACGAGTACGATAGCCACTGGATAACTGGTTTACCAGTTATCCAGTGGCATTGCAGCTTTTGGAAAAAAGAATTACTGTTGTCGGCACTCTCAAGAGTAACAAGCCAGAAATACCCATAAATTTTAATACTAGTCAGGGCCGACAAATAAATAGTTCTTTGTTTGGGTTTCAGAAAGAGTGCACACTAGTCAGTTATGTGCCAAAAAGGAACAAAACGGTCTTATTATTGTCAACAATGCACCACGATGAAGCAATAGATGCTACTACCGGCGACGCAAAAAAGCCTGAAATCACAACTTTTTGTAACCACACAAAGTGTGGGGTGGATATTGTGGACAGGATGTGTCGTCAATATGACGTTCTTGTAGGCGTTGGCCTCTTACATTATTTTTTAATTTTTTGAATATTGCCGCTATAAATGGCCTAGTTATTCATCAGTTGAATAATTCAAAAGAAAACATCATCAGACGCATTTTTCTTCGGTCTTTGGGGTTTGAGCTTGTGAAACCATTAATTTTAAAACGAATTTATCAGGATAATGTTCCAGGAAGCATTAAAACAAAAGCCAAACTATTGTTGAACATTTCGGAAGCTCCTCAACAAGGAAATATACCAATTCGTGGTGGGGTTGCACGCTGTGCGTTTTGTA